TCAACCCGTCCTCTCCACTAATACCACGTTATGGTCATCTTGAGGTTATCTTGAGATGATTTCGGGGCTTTAGTGTCCCCGCGGCCCGGTCCTCGACCAGGCCTCCACCCCCAGGAAGCAGCCCGTGACAGCTGACTAACACCCAGGTACCTATTTTACTGCTAGGTAACAGGGGCATAGGGTGAAAGAAACTCTGCCCATTGTTTCTCGCCGCCGCCCGGGACCACAGGATCACAAGTCCAGTGTGCTGTCCGCTCGGCCGACCGGCTCCCAGGACCGGCTCCCATATGGCAGGTAATGGTATCCAACGCACCAAATACAGTGCTTGGAAAAAGTTAGGGCTCACAACAATCCTCGTTTTCTATGCATGGATTGGTTAGGTTAGGTGGATGGCTCGGGCTCGGACGTTTGTGGTTAGGTTAAAATGGATGTTGGCCGACGAGGCAATCCAAGTGAACGGGGCTGTTTCAGCCTCTTGTACGACAACGATCACGTCATGAACGACCTTCCAAACAGGTGCGTTTTGTTCTAATACGTTGTTACATTTTCACTAAATGTGGCCAGAATGTACGTCCATGAATATATATTATTATTTTTTTTAATTAACGACGTATATTTATTATTTAAAGATTTTTGCAGTTTACCTCTATATAATTAAGCTTAGTTTTGCATTATAGGTTTTGGTCAAGCAGAGACTAATCGGTAAAGGTGCCAAATATACAAATATATATTAAATACAAATATATATATATATATATATATATATATATATATATATATATATATATACATAAATATATATATATATATGTCGTACCTAGTAGCCAGAACGCACTTGTCAGCCTACTATGCAGGGCCCGATTTGCCTAATAAGCCAAGTTTTCATGAATTAATTGTTTTTCGACGACCGAACCTACCTAACCTAACCTAACCTAACCTTTTCGGCTACCTAACCTAACCTAACCTATAAAAATAGGTTAGGTTAGGTTAGGTAGGGTTGGTTAGGTTCGGTCATATATCTACGTTAATTTAAATCCAATAAAAAAAAATTGACCTCATACATAATGAAATGGGTAGCTTTATCATTTCATAAGAAAAAAATTAGAGAAAATAAATTAATTCAGGAAAACTTGGCTTATTAGGCAAATCGGGCCTTGCATAGTAGGCCTAATATTGCGTTCTGGCTACTAGGTACGACATATATATATATATATATATATATATATATATATATATATATATATATATATATATATATATATAATATTTATTTTTAAACCTAGAAGGGGGTACCACCTCTGGTGCAAGTGTAGGGACCCATAGCCTCGGAGAAGAAAATAAAGAGTACTCAGAGAAGACCTTGTGGATCCTCACTGAACACTTTGATATTTTCTTCTCCTACCACCCCTATTCTTTTGTTAAGTGTGTATATTTATCTAACTTTATTTGAAAATGTCATTACACAAAAAAAGTTACAATATTGATTACATGCAGGGTACAAGGCTGCTTGTCACAAGTTGAAAAGCTCCTCCAGCTCCTCAGATGGCGGGCAGGAACCATGGATGCAGTGAGCATTTCCTCTCTGGATGGCCACACTAAGGCGCTGAAAAAGAAAACTGGCAGCTCTAGGGTCTCTAGTTGTTTCGATTAGCTTAGACCCCAACTCCTTCAAAAAGCTAGCAGCACTTTTACCCCAGGCACAAAGTGTCTCTGAGGCAATGGGGACAAAATTGTAGTGGTGCTCAAGGTCTGTATTTACGTGACTTGGCCGCTTCCCGGTGATTGGCAGCTCCTCCTGCTTGTGTAGCACTGAAGTCAACATAGGTATTGGCTAAAGTTGAAACGCATGTGTAGTCCCACACCAACTGTCTACCATTCTTCCAGGGGTTCACCGTAATTCCATCTGGGCGACCGACAGGCTCATCAGAGTTGCGGGACATTAGGTAACGGGGCTCTCTCTCTGCTGGACAACCGGCTGTGGTAAGGCTTCTCTTAATAATGTCATTAACCTCGCCGTGTCTTGCATGCCATCCTCCCGTCCTTTGGCAAAGAAGGCCATGCCGTCCATATCTGCCGGCCTCTGCCTCGCCGCAAATACACCTGTATTCGGTGTGGATTGGGGCAGCTAGGCGGAGAGCCACGCAATTCGGAGGGCCTGCGGTGTGAGACGGGTGCCGGTTGCTGACATCGGGGTTGCTAATAGGAAATCACCTGCATGGGGAGCTGCTACAGCTCTAAGTCGGGCAGTGTCATGTGGTGTTGTCGCAGCTTCTAGCAAAGTTGCAGCTTCTTGGTCGGCAATGGGGCGATCCCAGCTATATATATATAATATATATATATATATATATATATATATATATATATATATATATATATATATATGTCGTACCTAGTAGCCAGAACTCACTTTTCAGCCTACTATGCAAGGCCCGATTTGCCTAATAAGCCAAGTTTTCATGAATTAATTGTTTTTCGACTACCTAACCTACCTAACCTAACCTAACCTACCTTTTTCAGCTACCTAACCTAACCTAACCTATAAAGATAGGTTAGGTTAGGTTAGGTAGGGTTGGTTAGGTTCGGTCATATATCTACGTTAATTTTAACTCAAATAAAAAACAATTGACCTCATACATAATGAAATGGGTAGCTTTATCATTTCATAAGAAAATAATTAGAGAAAATATATTAATTTAGGAAAACTTGGCTTATTAGGCAAATCGGGCCTTGCATAGTAGGCTGAGAAGTGAGTTCTGGCTACTAGGTACGACATATATATATATATACATATATATATATAATGTCGTACCTAGTAGCCAGAACGCACTTTTATGCCTACTATGCAAGGCCCGATTTGCCTAATAAGCCAAGTTTTCCTGAATTAATGTTTTCTCTAATTTTTTTCTTATGAAATGATAAAGCTACTAATTTCATTATGTATGAGGTCAAATTTTTTTTATTGGAGTTAAAATTAACGTAGATATATGACCAAACCTAACCAACCCTACCTAACCTAACCTAACCTACCTTTATAGGTTAGGTTGGGTTAGGTAGTAGAAAAAGTTAGGTTAGGTAGGTTAGGTAGTCGAAAAAACATTAATTCATGAAAACTTGGCTTATTAGGCAAATCGGGCCTTGCATAGTAGGCTGAGAAGTGCGTTCTGGCTACTAGGTACGACATTATATATATATATATATATATGTCTTTAATTTTGAACGAGCGGTCGCCTCGGCCTAGTTGGCAACGCTTTACTTGCCCAACAGGACGAAGAAAAAAAAAATAGCTGGATTTTTTTTGTATTTTTACAAAACTGTCGCGGTGTTTACATATATGACTGATGGTTTAGGTAAAATTCAGCCGATAATAACCTCTCCCTGTGCTGGCAGCTGCCTCGCTGCCCCCCCCCCACCCTGTTCATATATGTACTCTTTTGAAGTGTCAAAGATCATTAATGTCCAAAAAGCCACTAGTGGTTTTACAAGATTGTAATTACTATATTATGTATCCTCACAATCCCAATGTACCTTTGTAACAAACTAGGCTGTTGTAAGAATTATCCAGAGTGGTTTATCGACAAAAGAGAATGGGAAGCTGAGCCCGCATGGTGACCTGAGAACCTGACCCCCAGGGGATTCGCGGTGGAAATAACCGACGCTTTGTTCATAGCTGCGTATAATGAACCATCATATAGTATTCAGTAATTTAGAGAAAATTAGCCTTTATTCATTTTGCATTAAAATTGTATTGTATAATAGTACTGGATACAATATCAAGAGTATTCTAATTATTGAGTTTAAGTCACCATCAGTGACGTCACGAATCAGATCTAACTTGTAAGGCGGAGTGACCGGCGGTCATAGGTCAGCAGGGTTGACAGGTCTACTATTTCTCAAAGTTCAATTATCCATTTTGGGGGGATCGGGAACAGCTTTGCCGTTAGATGTTTGTGTAATTTAATTTCAGTAAAATAATTCAACCAGTCTGGATCAATTAAGTACAACAGAGGTTAATTGTTATAACTTAAACCTTGCTAGTAACTTGGTAGAACTTTGACTAGGCGGAAGGATACAATGTTCTGTCTGGGGTAGACCAGACAAGGAAGAAATCAGTGTGATCTGCCGAGCAGCTGGGAGAGGTCAAACATCTTACCTCTCCCCGAGACCAGCCCAACATCTTTAGCTGGTAAAACATAGAGGTATAGTTGCTATGGTTATGTATAGAAATAGTCTCATTTGCCATTCAGGTCAAGTAGGGAGTGTTAAAGTGACAGGGAGTGAACATATTTAGATTTTGTTTTAGTTTTTCTTTTAATAAATTAAATTTGTTAATATTTTGCATTTTTATTGTTTCCATTTGGTTGTGTGTATACTTGTCCTGGTCACGTGGTCCACACGAGGCAGAGTTGTATTGGGCGCCGATTCTAACATCGAATCGGAATTATCATTACCGTGTAATTTATTCCACACTCAAGGTCATCGTTTATAGTGGGGATCAAGCCCCTAGGTTGATTAATTAGCGTGATCGATCCAGACCTCGATCATTGCTCTTGTGTTACTGGTCTGGTGGTGGCAGCGTAGAGGCGACTCTAGGGTTTTGCTCAGAGCCTAGGTCACGCTATACTGGTTGTAGAATCCTAAGTCGGTCCTAAGTCGGTTTAACTAACTGTCTTAGGACCACGTGGCGTGGAGTTGGCTTTGGTAAAAGTTTTGGAGTCCCTTGGTAGAGAATAAAAAGTAAGAATACGGGTAGAGAGGGCGAAGAAGGAAGTAGAGAGAGAGAAACCCGAAACCGTGTTACACCTTCTTGTATATAAATAAATAAATAAAGATATTTTAGAAAATTTTCTTAACTTTTCAATTTTCGTAAAGAAACTTCAGCTTGAGTTTTGTAGCCAATAGCTCCAAATCTTTTGAGTCCTACAACTGCTCGTCAGAATCACAACGTGAACAGAATTTTATGACGGAGAATGAAGCTCTTTAAAGGAAATTCAAACACTCGCTCCAGTATATCATTTATATTAATAAATATACAATATGATACAACAAATGGAATGTACAGATTATACACAAGAGGTTTAATAAACTTTTTGGTAGAGACAAGTGACTAGCAAGATGGTGATCAAAGGCCTTGGTTAAGATGGTGGACAAGGCACGTGGTTTTCCATCTCGATATCCATTATTACCGACAAGTTATATAAAATATGAAAGATTTCGAAGGATAAAAACTGTTTCAACAGTTCCTGGAAGGCGTGATATTATATTATATATATATATATATATATATATATATATATATATATATATATATATATATATATATATATATATATATATATATATATATATATATATTACATAAAGTATTCTGTCATGTTATTCTGAAAGAAAGTAGGAATATCAAGGATACAATTTTATGTATTAAAGGTTCACTGTGCTGGGATCTTCCATAACAAATGTGCTGGATAAAAACTAACAACAAATTCTATGTATGAAATTTGGATGATGTGATATATCAAATAATATTTTTTTTTTAGAATAATTTTCAGTCGATTGATTTGTTAAGAGGTCAATTTATGACTCGTGCACATCTTTCCTCTCACTAAATACACGATAAAGAATTCAAAAGTCAACAATAGGGCCTCTCGAATTGATTTTTAACTTTCTCCACTATGTTTCCATAGCGGCAGGAGATCAGACCCCATATATTGCATCTGAATATGACTTTGATGCTGTGAACCTCGTCTCTTCCCCTAGAGGCAGACGACAGGCTCCGGGTGTAAGAACACGTCTGTGATGACACGTCGTCTTCGATGCTAATGCATCTTTGACGACGCTGGAGGAGACGCAAGGGTGTCACTGGTGCTTCCTCTACACGTAGCTCTCCTGTCGGGAGGAGTAGATGAGGAAGGAGTCCAGAAGGCGGGGCTCGACCAGCTCGGCGGCGTCCATTCCTCGCAACTCCTCAGACCCCAGCGACGACGCAATCTTCCGCAGGGCCGCCTGAAACAGTCGTAATTATAAGGTATGTTGACTCCTGCAAGAATCAGTTACGACAGTTTTAAAGTTTACCGTCACAGCTTTCTTGGGGTAAATTTTGATATTTTAGTCTATCCACCTGGGTTATTGACTAGTTAATGTGTTCTTGTAGTTGGGAACGATTGTTCTACATATGTTCTAAAATTGTGTTTATTTTGGTAATAGCAGAGATCTAGGCCAGTTGTGTGGTTGACTGCTTTTTTCAGGGTGGATCTGGGTAGAGCCAGACCAACAAACCATTCACCACGTATCGACCAAGGGGGCTCCAGGGGACTAGGAGAACCATTAGAGAGAGGGGGACAGTGTCTGTTATCAGGGTCCGAGGATAAGAGCTTTGGGTTTCAAATGAGCCTATAGATTCAAGAGGGGGAGCCCAAACACCAACTATTCATCCCCATCTTGCCTACAGGCATCGCTCTATTATTGGCTTACAGATTTAAGTGGGCGTAGAATAAAGCGGGCAATTGGTCTATGGGTTTAGGGGCATGACTTGTGCCCTGGCATTCATATGCCAGGGCACAAGTCATGCCCTCCTGGGTTCGAAGGGGCAGGAAAGTCAGTGCCAGTCAGTGGCCTTTGATACTTTCATAAGCAGTGTTGTTAGTAGTCTGTTCCCATTTCATATTCATTGATATTTCATTGCCTTGTTAAGGATATAGAGTAGGATGTCTTAATGTTAATGATCTAGTGTACTTTGAGTATTAATTACTATTCTATCTTATCTACTAGCTTGCTGGATAAGTAGTCGAACTCTGCTCTCGTTCCTTTGTTTCGCTGCTTTAATTCTCCATATCCTCCCAGAGTCTTTTTTTTTAACTAACTGTTCAAGTATATTGTTGAGGTGATCAACATCTGCACGTTTCCAGTGACTAGGGATATGGGTTCCGACTGCCCTGAGAGGTCAGGTAGATTATGGAGTGATGACCTGGGCGGGTGTTATTGAATGTGAAAGTTAGGGCACCTGTGGTCATAAGATTGACACCTGGCTTACAGGAAAGGCGGACAATACTAAGATTGCACAAGTGTTAAACGGGTATTTTATCCAGGTATTATAAATGGTGGCAGCGGTGGGATTAAGGATACAATTTGTTATTGAATCATTACAATTTTTTGCACATTATAACGAATATATAATAACTCGTATTGCCATTATGGCAATGCAGTTCCCTGTTAGCACTGGGATAGAGATCTTTGTCTTGTCCATTTCTCCTACAAGCCTGAAAGGCAATCGACCAAAGTCTTGGCCATACCAAAATGAACACATTTTTAAGAACACGTGTAGAACCACATTCCCCACCAACACAAATTAACTGTTGCATCAGGAATGCCAACTCCACAACTTCTGGAGTAGTCAGCCTTCAGCCCCTTTAAAATGCTGTGACGTCAATAAAGACCACATCCCACAATAACCTACGTTCAGTAAAGTTGGTCAATTTATTTATTTTATTTACATACAAGGAGATACATTGGGTTGAGAGTACATAACATTGGGTTGAGAGTACATAACATTGGGTTGAGAGTACATAACATTGGGTTGAGAGTACATAACATTGGGTTGAGAGTACATAACATTGGGTTGAGAGTACATAACATTGGTGTTTGAGCGTTACTTTGGGCCAAGCCACTAACACACATAGCTTAAATGTCAAGAAGTAAATTACAATGGCATTGAACGTTCAGAGAGATATACTACTAACAATTAAATACAATAAGCAAAGAACATAATATTTGTTTACAGATATGATTTTTTGTCTACTAATTGCACAACTGCAAATGCATGTAAGATGAGCTTAAAGCTAAAACGCCTACACCCTCACCAGGCAGGCGACGAGGACGGCGTCGCTGTGGTTCCGTTCCTCTTCGTCCTTACACAGTCTCACCAGCCGCGCCGCCCCGCCCAGCTCCACCACCTGCTGCGCCACACTCGCCTCCCGACACAACCTGACGGAGGCACCAACAACTTGGTAATTACAACTGTTAAAAATGGTTTTATCACTTTGATATTTGGGAGAAGTGTCTGTCACCCCTCTTATCTAGGTGAATGATTGAGGGACAGGGGGCCAGATTCACGAAACCACTTACACAAATACTTACGAACGTGTTCATCTTTCCTCAATCTTTGACGGCTTTGGTTACATTTATTAAACAGTTTACAAGCATGAAAACTTGCCAGTAAACTGTTGTTCTTGTTATAAACAGCCTCCTGGTGCTTCGGAGCTCATTAACTGTTTAATAATTGTAAACAAAGCCGCCAAAGATTGAGAAAAGATGTACAGGTTCGTAAGTGCCTGCGTGAATCTGGTCCCTGGTGCTTGGGATTAATCTCTCTAAACTTTGCAGGGTTACTAGTCTTAGGGGATGGTCATAGGTGGGTCTGAGTTAATCCCCCTTACTCTTGCTTTTGCAGGATATAGCAACTGATGCTAATTTTCGAATCCCCTTATATACCAGACTCCATCGTCACAATAACATGCATCTAGCATACTAGCTTCTACATAATTAACATTTAATCTTTTGTAATTTAGTTGATGAGGACAATGATGCAAGAAATGAAGGGTAGGGAAGGTAGTATAGCGGGCAGAAGGTGATGATGTGGATAGGGTGTGAAGATAGTCACAGTGGTGAGGATGGGTATGTGTGGTATAGGTAGTAACTGAAGGATGAGTGTGAGAGATGGTTGCAGTGGCTAAGCCTGTGTTAGTAGGATGATTATAGTGAGTAGGGAAGCTGTGACCTCCGACACCCCAAACAGCCTCACTGTTGACCAGACCACACACTAGAAATTGAAGGGACGACGACGTTTCGGTCCGTCCTGGACCATTCTCAAGTCGATTGTGGTCTGGTCAACATACTTCAGCCACGTTATTGTGACTCATCGCCAGCCTCACTGTTTTTGTTCACACTAAAGTAGTATTGTTATATATATATATATATATATATATATATATATATATATATATATGTATATATAAGCTATCTTTGCATTAGTGTCTGTATTAGTGAAGTCTCTCTAGGTGTGGTTTTCACCGCTGAAGTCCCGATAGTATATGGGGCCCGCCGGCTCAGGGAGTAGAGCCGGCCCCCCCAACACCTCCGCACCCCCCCCCCCTGCTTGGGGATCAGAAACCAAGCCAGGGAGGCCCGGCTTCAGTAGAGCCAGCCTATAATTTGCAAATAGGCTTGCATTGTGCAGCTTCATAGTGTGTGTCAGGATATCTGGGGGTGTCACACCTGGAGAGTGTCAGGATATCTGGGGGGTGTCACACCTGGAGTGTGTCAGGATATCTGGGGGTGTCACACCTGGAGTGTCAGGATATCTGGGGGTGTCACACCTGGAGTGTGTCAGGATATCTGGGGGTGTCACACCTGGAGTGTGTCAGGATATCTGGGGGTGTCACACCTGAAGTGTCAGGATATCTGTGGGTGTCATACCTGGAGAGAGCGATAGCGGACTTCTGTTGTATCCTCTCTGCCGTGGCCACCTCCGGGAGGCGGTGGGTGGGGGCGGGGCGGGTGTGGAGGAGGGCCAGCAGGAGGGCCACGCCCCCGCCCACCACCACCTCCTCTGCTGCTTCCCGCCACCCCGCCAGGTTGGCCAACACCGTCGCGATCTGCCGGACAGGAAACTCACGCTGAGAATGTCTAATCTAATTACAAGTCTTGCAAACGAGCAACGAAGTTTGAAGTTAAAAAAAAACATGTACAAACTTTATGAGCTCGACTTCAAGTGATGTCAAGACTCTGTATCAACTATTATAAAAAAAGGTTTAATAGGATCGAAGTAAAAAAAAAAAATCTTCATATTTGAGGGGAAACTAAAGAATTATAAAAAGATATTTTTAAGATAATGTAAGATAATTATCTTTTATTTTAAGATAAAAGATAATATAAGATATTCCCCTCTTCATATTTGAGGGATACTAAAGCATTATAAAAAGGTTTAATAGGATCGAAATAAAAAAATCTTCATATTTGAGGGGAAACTAAAGAATTATAAAAAAATTAACACGATGGACGTAAAAAAAATCTTCATGTTCTGGGGGGGAAGCTGACCTGATCCTTAGTGAAGATGGAGATGGTGGGGTTGTCTCTGGCGGCCTTGAGGAGGACCTGGGCGGTGCCGGCGGCCCTCATGGCCTCGACACACCCGCCGTCAAGGAACGTCAGGTTGGCCAGCGCCGCAGACGCCAGGAGGAAGATCTCAGAGGACCGCGTACCCTGAGCCAGCCCTGTCAAGGGAAGATTGAGACGTTGATAACGACGTTTAAAATATTCCCACAAGAGTAATTGACACAAAAGTTGGAAGCTGTTCTGCGCTCATCTCTTAATTCGAGGATTTCGGCAGGGGAAAAACATCTGCTTTTTATTGCGGAACAAAAAAATTATTGGACAGATTAATTAAACAAGGACATCGATTTAAGTGGGTAGCCCAATAGGCAGTACTGAGCGTACAAGCGAGACGCTAGAGCTCTACAACAGACTAAAAAAAAAAAAATAAGCGCAAGACAGCTTCGCTAATTGTTCTTTTATGTGGCTTAATTATGTCATTACGGGAGCCATTAACGGTTTAGATTAGATGTGGGGGAGATGGGGAGAGTGTATTTAGGGTTTACCTGTAAGGTAGTTGTTGGGGAGATGGGGAGAGTGTTTTAGGGTTTACCTGTAAGGTAGTTGTTGGGGAGATGGGGAGAGTGTTTTTAGAGTTTACCTGTAAGGTAGTTGTTGGGGAGATAGGGAGAGTTTTTTTAGGGTTTACCTGTAAGGTAGTTGTGGGGGAGATGGGGGGAGTGTTTTTAGGGTATACCTGTAAGGTAGTTGTGGGGGAGATGGGGAGAGTGTTTTTAGGGTTTACCTGTCAGGGCGGCGACGATGGCGCCCATGTGGGTGTGGAGGGCGGCGAGGCGGTGGGCGTTCTCCACCCAGGGCGAGGTGATCTGCGCCAGCACCCCGGCCGCCTCGCTGCGCTCCTCCTCTGGACCCTCCTCGTCACACAGCACCTCCGCCACCACCTCCACGCCGCCAGCCTGAGACACATACAACATACTGGGTGATGAAGAGGCACAGCGTCAGCCTGAGACACATACAACATACTGGATGATGAAGAGGCACAGCGCCAGCCTGAGACACATACAACATACTGGGTGATGAAGAGGCATAGCGCCAGCCTGAGACACATACAACATACTGGGTGACGAAGAGACACAGCGCCAGCCTGAGACATACAATAAACTGGGTGATGAAGAGGCACAGCGCCAGCCTGAGACACATACAACATACTGGGTGATGAAGAGGCACAGCGCCAGCCTGAGACACATACAACATACTGGGTGACGAAGAGACACAGCGCCAGCCTGAGACATACAATAAACTGGGTGATGAAGAGGCACAGCGCCAGCCTGAGACACATACAACATACTGGGTGATGAAGAGGCACAGCGCCAGCCTGAGACACATACAACATACTGGGTGATGATGAGGCACAGCGTCAGCCTGAGACACATACAACATACTGGGTGATGAAGAGGCACAGCGCCAGCCTGAGACACATACAACATACTGGGTGATGATGAGGCACAGCGTCAGCCTGAGACACATACAACATACTGGGTGATGAAGAGGCACAGCGCCAGCCTGAGACACATACAACATACTGGGTGATGATGAGGCACAGCGCCAGCCTGAGACACATACAACATACTGGGTGATGAAGAGGCACAGCGCCAGCCTGAGACACACACAAGTTCAAGTATGTTTATTGAGACAAGAAAGAAATACATCTCAAAGGGATAGAGTAGCTTAGGCTATTTCTACCCCCGGAGGCCTGGTCGAGGACCGGGCCGCGGGGACACTAAAAGCCCCGAAATCATCTCAAGATAACCTCAAGATAACCCCCCCTAAACCTGGGACACAATGTACACAAAATAAAATTTAAGTCGGACATCCTGAGCAAATTTAAAACACATAACAATATAAAACGTTAATATATATCTTGTCGGGGACAGGAAGCCTTTTTTCTTGCCTTAACGAGACTAAACCCCTCCTCCCCCCCCCTACCCTCCCTCTCTCCCCATAGAATAGGGGGCGGAGCTATCAGTAGGGCTGCTTGTCAACCCATCCTATTGCCTAGCCTCGTCCTCTCACCCACCCGGGTGACGCCCCCCACCATTAACCACGCCCCCCACCATTAACCACGCCCCCCACCATTAACCACGCCCCCCCCCCCCGTGTCATTTATAAAACAAATTACCCGTCGCTGCAAAATAGGGGGAAAATGACCAAGTGGAGTGAGGGGGGGGGGGCGTTGATCAATGAGAACGTGGATTAAGTGCATGAAGGTTTAATAGCTGTTTAATCGGGGTGAGGATCACGTCTATTGGGGGGGATCAGGTCTATTGGGGGGATCAGGTCTATTGGGGGGATCAGGTCTATTGGGGGGATCGTCTATTGGGGGAATCACGTCTATTGGGGGGATCACGTCTATTGGGGGGATCACGTCTATTGGGGGGATCACGTCTATTGGGGGGATCACGTCTATTGGGGGGATCACGTCTATTGGGGGGATCACGTCTATTGGGGGGATCACGTCTATTGGGGGATCACGTCTATTGGGGGGATCACGTCTATTGAAGGATCACGTCTATTGAAGGATCACGTCTATTGGGGGATCACGTCTATTGGGGGGATCACGTCTATTGGGGGGATCACGTCTATTGGGGGGATCACGTCTATTGGGGGGATCACGTCTATTGGGGGATCACGTCTATTGGGGGGATCACGTCTATTGGGGGGTTATCTTGAGGTTATCTTGAGATGATTTCGGGGCTTTTAGTGTCCCCGCGGCCCGGTCCTCGACCAGGCCTCCACCCCCAGGAAGCAGCCCATGACAGCTGACTAACACCCAGGTACCTATTTTACTGCTAGGTAACAGGGGCATAGGGTGAAAGAAACTCTGCCCATTGTTTCTCGCCGGCGCCTGGGATCGAACCCAGGACCACAGGATCACAAGTCCAGTGTGCTGTCCGCTCGGCCGACCGGCTCCCCGACCGGAGGAATCACGTCTATTTGGGGGATCACGTCTATTGAGGGATCGCGTCTATTGAGGGATCGCGTCTATTGAGGGATCGCGTCTATTGAGGGATCGCGTCTATTCAGTAAAGACGTATTTTGTCATGCCGCAGAAACTCCCCGCTCACTCTCGCAAGCAATTTCTTCATTCCAAACTAAATTTGATGAAATGGGTCTGCTGGGTGTACCTCGTCTATGTAGACATGTCTGCTGGGTCTACCTCGTATATGTAGACATGTATACCGGATGTATCTCACGTAGGTGTACAAATGTAGTTTTTATGCAAATTTCCAAGTTGTAGGAAATACAATAAAACTTCATCAATGTTTATATTTCTATCCTAATGACCAACATACCATTTTAACCTGTGCCTTAAATGAGATCCAGAAGCTTACAAGCTTCTGGATCTTAATTATCAATCTCAATCTAGACGGTCTCGCTTCATGCAGGTCGGCGTTCAATCCCCGACCGTCCAAGTGGTTGGGCACCATTCCTTTCCCCTCCGTCCCATCCCAAATCCTTTTCCTGACCCCTTCCAAGTGCTATATAGTCGTAATGGCTTGGCGCGTCCCCACCCTTTGATAATTCCCTTCCCTTATAAGCTTCAGGAAACCTCTGATCAATCCCCATTTTATTCCCTTGATAAGCTTTCAATCACGACTGTTGTTATCGAGGGCCTCGAACCGGGGACCGGACTCACCTTCTCCAGTTCGACGATGCCGTCGACGACGCAGCAGACGGTGGCGAGGGCCCTGAGCGCCGCCACCCGGGCGTGTCGCAGCCGCGGCTCCACGCACACGCCCAGCAGGCCGCGCACGCCCCCGTGGCGCGCAATCAGGCGGCAGATGTGACCTCCGTCCACGCCCAGCGCCGTCAGGTGAGACACGGCAGAGATGACCTCGGCGTCTTGAGGGTCCTCCAGCAGCCGCACCACCACCTGAGGGGGGGAGAGAACCGTAGGGGTCAATACAGGTCGCTCCCCGGGGTCACCACGGGTCACCACGGGTCGCCACGGGTCGCCACAGGTCACCACAGGTCACCACGGGTCGCCACGGGTCGCCACGGGTCGCCACAGGTCACCACAGGTCACCACGGGTCGCCACGGGTCGCCACAGGTCACCACGGGTCGCCACGGGTCGCCACGGGTCGCCACAGGTCGCCCCCGGATGCGTCTCGGGGTCAAGGACAAAGGGAAGCTAATGTGAGCATGAGCAGGCCAAGATTAAAGTCGACGCTTGTGTTTGATCACAGACTCGAGCAGAGATCAGGTCTGCGCAGTCAAAGGGTCAAAGGTGCACCGCAAGGGCTCACAAATAACTATATATATCTTTTCTGATGCCAATGATAAGCATTATTTTGATATTTATTGATCGGAAAAAATAATAATTTATAATTTCAATTGTATTTAGTTCAAAAGGTGTTGAGTGCTACGATCTAAATGATGATTTTTGACTTGTGAAACACGACAAAAATTATTATTTTCACTAGGCTATATTTTTTTGTTTTAATTGTAACTTTGCCAGCTGGCCCTTGGCACCATGATCTGTAGGGCAGGAGTGCCAGCTGGCCCTTGGCACCATGATCTGTAGGGCAGGAGTGCCAGCTGGCCCTTGGCACCATGATCTGTAGGGTAGGAGTGCCAGCTGGCCCTTGGCACCATGATCTGTAGGGCAGGAGTGCCAGCTGGCCCTTGGCACCATGATCTGTAGGGCAGCCGTGCAGGAGTGCCAGCTGGCCCTTGGCACTCACCGTAATCTCGCGGCTGAGCATGAGGTCGACCAGCTTGGTGAAGGCGTGTCCCAGCGCCGTCACCACCTGCACCACCTGGCGGGCGGCGTCGGGGTCGCCGCGTCCGCCGCTGCACACCTCCGTCAGCCGCTCACAGATCTGCTGGACCACCTTCCTCTGGCGCCCCAGCGACGACTGTACAAACACAACACAACACTGAGAATGTCACAATAATGTTGCTTGGAAAACAGAAACTCAAATCCCTCCACCCACACACGCACGCACGCACGCACACACACACACACACACACACACACACACACACACACACACACACACACACACACACACACACAACGTTACTACACCTCCAGTTAACATATTCGTGCATCACAAAACACTTACGAATCGTCCTGATATTGTTAGTGTGTGTTGGTCGTAATTATTTATCACGTGTAGGTCACACACTCTCCTACATGGGGACATGTAGTCTCCTACATGGGAGACATGCACTCTCCTACATGGGAGACATGCACTCTCCTACATGGGGGACATACACTCTCCTACATGGGGGACATACACTCTCCTACATGGGGGACATACACTCTCCTACATGGGGGACATACACTCTCCTACATGGGGGACATACACTCTCCTACATGGGGGACATACACTCTCCTACATGGGGGACATACACTCTCCTACATGGGGGACATACACTCTCCTACATGGGGGACATACACTCTCCTACATGGGGGACATACACTCTCCTACATGGGGGACATACACTCTCCTACATGGGGGACATACACTCTCCTACATGGGGGACATACACTCTCCTACATGGGGGACATACACTCTCCTACATGGGGGACATACACTCTCCTACATGGGGGACATACACTCTCCTACATGGGGGACATACACTCTCCTACATGGGAGACATATACTCTCCTACATGTACAGCACATGTGAAGGGGGGGGTGAACAGTGCCAGAACTGACGTGCTAGTGGGCAGTGTGACGAGTCGCACTGATGCTACCACACTCTTTGAGGTTATCTTGAGGTTATCTTGAGATGATTTCGGGGCTTTAGTGTCCCCGCGGCCCGGTCCTCGACCAGGCCTCCACCCCCAGGAAGCAGCCCGTGACAGCTGACTAACACCCAGGTACCTATTTACTGCTAGGTAACAGGGTCATTCAGGGTGAAAGAAACTTTGCCCATTTGTTTCTGCCTCGTGCGGGAATCGAACCCGCGCCACAGAATTACGAGTCCTGCGCGCTATCCACCAGGCTACGAGGCCCCATGGAATTCAGGCCCCACTCTGCCTGGCCCTATGGAATTGGTGTAAGCTAATATGATACAAAATATAGAATATAATGAGATTAAAATCAAGCAACATGTGATTAGGCAATGAGAGGTGAGGGGACTCGCTGGGGGACTCACCTGGGGCTGGGGACTCACCCGGGGCTGGGGACTCGCCGGGGGACTCACCCGGGGACTCACCCGGGGCTGGGGACTCACCGGGGGACTCACCCGGGGCTGGGGACTCGCCGGGGGACTCACCCGGGGCTGGGGACTCGCCGGGGGACTCACCGGGGGACTCACCTGGGGCTGGGGACTCACCTGGAGACTCACCTGGGGCTGGGGACTCGCCTGGAGACTCACCTGGGGCTGGGGACTCGCCTGGAGACTCACCTGGGGCTGGGGACTCACCTGGGACTGGGGACTCACCTGGGGCTGGGGACTCACCCGGGGACTCACCTGGGGCTGGAGGTCGGGGTCGGCGGAGGTCCACTGGGTGATGTAGTCCTTGAGGAAGTTGTTGATGTGCGTGACGACGGAGCCCGCCAACACCGGCACCTGTCCCAAGTCCAGCCACTCCAGCCTCCTGTCAAGACAACACCTGTCTGTACTGGTCACTATAGCACACCTGTTAACACCTGTCCCAAGTCCAGCCACTCCAGCCTCCTGTCAAGACAACACCTGTCTGTACTGGTCACTATAGCACACCTGTTAACACCTGTCCCAAGTCCAGCCACTCCAGCCTCCTGTCAAGACAACACCTGTCTGTACTGGTCACTATAGCACACCTGTTAACACCTGTCCCATCTACAGCCTTCTGTCAAGACAACACCCGTCTGTACTGGTCACTATAGCACACCTGTTAACACCTGTCCCATCTACAGCCTTCTGTCAACACAACACCTGTCTGTACTGGTCACTATAGCACACCTGTTAACACCTGTCCCATCTCCAGCCTTCTGTCAACACAACACCTGTCTGTACTGGTCACTATAGTACACCTGTTAACACCTGTCCCATCTACAGCCTTCTGTCAAGACAACACCTGTCTGTACTGGTCACTATAGCACACCTGTCATCATCCTGATGCAGCATAGACAGTGAAGGTTTAGGTTTAACTCTACAAGCGATGTCAACATTAAAATAAAAATCCCTTCCTAAATTATCTAATATTATCTTAATCTAGTATTAAGACACTTTCTTTTGCATCTATAGTATAGAACATTCTTCGGCAAACATTCTGAGGTAAAATAAATGACTACAAAGTAAACCTGTCTTAAAGCACCAGCGAATACAGCCCCACATTGGAGAACAAACTTGGAGAACTTACAATAGGAGAACAGTTTGTTCTCCCGATTTGCCACTCCGGCAAAACAACAACATACGAACCAAAGCAACCTAACCTAACCTAACCTAACCTAACCTGTCGAGGCGGATGCACTGAAAACGGTCAATAATATTACAGGACTTTGCTGCTAATACGCCGCATTTATTTGTGTGCTACGTATTAGGCTAGAAGAGAAGGAGGAAGAAGAGAGAAAATGGAGGGTCAGCACTCACTGGCACAGTCTGGCGAACTCGGTTGAGACTACATGCGCCCGACGTTGGATGGCCCTGATGGCATGGCGGGAAGTGGCGTTGACGGAGACGGCGTTGGCGGGCAACTGGAGGCCACTTGTGGTGTCCCCCGGCAAGGACTTGGACTGGAGGGTATTCATGCACTCCGACTCGTACAACGCACTCAGCTCCTGCAGCCACTGGCTCACCGACGCGTTTCTGAAAGAGCGACAAGACCCGGAGTCCATTACTCAGTACTTGGCGACAGTTCGTAAGACTTAATGTACATGGTTTACCTTGATCAAGCGTTGCACTGGTGCTTAGTCTCGGGAGCTGGTGAGTATACTGTGGTATACTCAAGCTTTCCTCATCATGTCGGAGGAAAGTATTTGATTCTAATGGGAATAAATCTATGGTAATATATGTTCTCCGAGCCCTCAGCCCTACTCCCGGGCCTCGGGTCCATCTAGGAGAGCGTCCACCAGAGGTAGGAGCACAGTAGCACTTCGGAGCCCGTGTTGGCGGGTGATGGTAATATGGGGGCTGTTGCACATTGTCGACTGGGGGGGGTTCACGCCCCCTCTCTCTTCCCTTCCACCTGGAGGGGTGGGAGGGGGTGGTGATGGAGGGGACAGGGATGGAAGTGGAGGAGAGAGCGAAGAGAAAGTATGTGGCGAGGGGAAGGAATGATTCAATGATATTGTAATGTTTGAAGTACTCTTTCTCGGTGTAACTTTGATTCACACACACACACACACACACACACACACACACACACACACACACACACACACACACACACACACACACACACACACACACATACATTTTGCAGCATGACAATTCAGTGGGTGACAATCAATCAGAGTAGGAGAAGTCATCCCACAGAACCTCTCACATTCCACAGCTCTCTATATGCAAATCGGGGCTCAGTGAGTTCCCCTCGGTTCTTCCCCTCCCCCTCTCACCCCTCCCCTATTCTCTACCCCACTGGGCTCACCCCGCCCCCCTCTCCCTCTTTACCAGCTTCCACCAGTTAACATTCCTCAGCATCCCAGGAAACTCAGGCCATTCCGCGTGAAGATAAGTACACATACAGGAATGTCAGCGGTGGCAGGAGGGCACACGAAGGCGGCTGGTAGATTAATAGGCTGGTAGATTAATAGGTAGGATAAGTAGACACGGGGGGAAAGGAGTGAGGGAGGTCTGGCAAGGGAGATGTATGTGCTAGGGTGTAGAGGTGGACCTGAGAGAGGGTGACAGGTGGTAGTATATCGTAGATGGGTAGACCAAAGGTACACCTGATCAACCAGGCTGGGATTCGTACGTCAGGCTGCGAGCAGCAGCGTCCATCAGCCTGGTTGATCAGTCCAGCAACCAGGAGGCCTGGTCGACGACTGGGCCGCGGGGACGCTGAGCCCCGGAAGCACCTCAAGGTATACGGGTAGACTAGCCTATTGTGGAGAGGTAGCCAGCCTACTGTAGACTGCTAGTCCAAGGTAGACATGTAGCCCCAAGATGGACAGGTTGTCCTGTGGAGACAATTAGCCCGAGACAGGTAGCCGAAAATAAGACAGGTAGCCTAAGGAAGCGGAAGATGACTAGAACGGTAAGTATATTGAAGACAACAATAGAAAAATTGAACAGACGGGAACGAATGGATCAAATCGGGACTCAGATTCGCCCTCAAGGCCCGCCCCTCAAGGCCCGCCCCTCAAGGCCCGCCCCTCAAGGCCCGCCCTCAAGGCCCGCCCCTCAAGGCCCGCCTTCAAGAGAGGTGTGAAACACAACCAAGAACCTCCATCAAGTGTTCACTATAGACTCGAGACACTTTCCAGCGGTACCGAACAAGCAACACTTACCCGAGACATTGAGAAACATATAAGTTGCAACACAGGAGGTAAACATCATCTCGAAGATCAAGACGTTCCAAAGGCTGCAATGCCAAACAAAGTCATGTCGTGGGTAGTAAAGAAGGACTGCCGAGGCCTTAAGAAACCTTTAAACACAAGGGGGAGAACTGCCAAACAGCTGGAAGATGGCAAATGATATGCCTGCATTAGACAGAGAAGGAATAGATGTAAGCTTTAAGGGCTTGTATCGCTGACAGATAACCCCGTTTAACCCGGGGCCACTTGCATCATCTGAGCATCGAACTCGGGACCGCAAACCCATGGTTGTACCAAACGTACTAGGTTGGTTCTTTCCCCTTACTTTAGAGGTCCTCTTCCCCTTCCACAGAGGTCTTCTCCCCCTTCCACAGGAGGTCCTCATCCCCTTCCTACACCTAAGCACCAATTTGATCGAAAATCAAAGGTCACGGGTTCGAGCCTCGTAGAGGGAACCAGGTCACACTCTGGGAACAGTGAGAGGCCAGAGTCAGAGGTCAAACTTGAGGAATGTAAATATAGAGCTTGTTTAATAGTGTGTGTGTGTGTGTGTGTGTGTGTGTGTGTGTGTGTGTGTGTGTGTGTGTGTGTGTGTGTGTGTGTGTGTGGGGGGGGGGGGGCATATACAAGAATAATCCTTGACAAATGAGCCAGAATGTTGTGTATATTTTAAGACCTTTTTATTCACTTTGAGTCGCAATAAAAATAACGTATTTCTAACGCAAACATATATGCCGTCGCCGCCTATATTTTTGTTGGTTAAATATATATATATATATATATATAAATATACAGAAGTCTCTCTCTTCCTCGTATTGCATTTAAGGCGACAACAAACTTGATCTGTTATTCTTTTACCTAATTCGAAATTTTTTATTTTGGTCCCCCCTTCATTTTCTTTGTAATAATAGAAGGAGAAACTGCTTCATTCCTGATGGACTGTCACGGTACTTGCATCTTTATGTAGGCTTTGTTTGTTCTTGTATTTGTCGGTTGTTCTTGCTAATATTCCTTTTTTGTTGTTAGGTTCAGTTGTGGTTTCTAGTGTTGTGGTGGTGGTGGTGGTGGTGGTGGTAGTGGTGGGTGGTGGGTGGTGGTGGGTGGTGGTGGTGGTGGGTGGTGGTGGTGGTGGTGGTGGTGGTAGTGGTGGTTGGTTGGTTGGTGGGTGGTGATGGTGGTAGTGGTGGTTGGTTGGTTGGTGGGTGGTGATGGTGGTGGTGGTGGTTGGTTGGTTGGTTGGTGGTGATGGTGGTGGTTGGTTGGTTGGTTGGTTGGTTGGTGGGTGGGTGGTGATGGTGGTGGTGGTGGTGGTTGGTTGGTTGGTTGGTGGTGATGGTGGTGGTGGTGGTGGTTGGTTGGTTGGTTGGTGGTGGTGGTGGTGGTTGGTTGGTTGGTTGGTTGGTTGGTTGGTTGGTTGGTTGGTTGGTTGGTGGGTGGTGGTGGTGGTGGTTGGTTGGTGGGTGGGTGGTGATGGTGGTGGTGGTTGGTTGGTTGGTTGGTTGGTTGGTTGGTGGGTGGTGATGGTGGTGGTGGTGGTTGGTTGGTTGGTGGGTGGGCGGTGATGGTGGTGGTGGTGGTGGTGGTGGTTGGTTGGTGGGTGGTGATGGTGGTGGTGGTTGGTTGGTGGGTGGTGATGGTGGTGGTGGTGGTGGTGGTTGGTTGGTTGGTGGGTGGGTGGTGATGGTGGTGGTGGTGGTTGGTTGGTTGGTTGGTGGGTGGTGATGGTGGTGGTGGTGGTTGGTTGGTTGGTTGGTGGGTGGGTGGTGATGGTGGTGGTTGGTTGGTTGGTGGGTGGGTGGTGATGGTGGTGGTTGGTTGGTTGGTTGGTGGGTGGGTGGTGATGGTGGTGGTGGTGGTTGGTTGGTTGGTTGGTGGTGGTGGTTGGTTGGTTGGTGGGTGGGTGGGTGGGTGGGTGGGTGGGTGGGTGGGTGGTGGTGGTGGCTGTGTCATACATTAGACTGATGAGTTTCCGCAGAAATTACCTGGGATCGTCTGGGATCCGTTCAGATGTAGGTTCGAACCCTCATCACGGCCCTTGTGGATTTGTTCATTAGTGTGAGGACCATTTAGCGGGTCACACACACACACACACGCACACACGCGCGCGCACACACACACACACGCGCGCGCGCACACACACACCTCGCCACGGCCACCCGCGCAGTTAATGAACCTTAGGCCTACGAGGGTGGAGGCCTACGTCGGCGGCATGTAACCTGTGACCCCCCCCCCCACCCCAGAGCACTGGAAGTGGCAACCTTGAACCCTCGTAGGGCACGTCATTAGGGCACGTCATTAGGGCACGTCATTAGGGCACGTCATTAGGGCACGCCATTAGGGCACGCCATTAGGGCACGTCATTAGGGCACGCCATTAGGGCACGCCATTAGGGCACGCCATTAGGGCACGCCATTAGGGCACGTCATTAGGGCACGTCATTAGGGCACGTCATTAGGGCACGTCATTAGGGCACGTCATTAGGGCACGTCATTAGGGCACGACATTAGGGCACGACATTAGGGCACGTCATTAGGGCACGTCATTAGGGCACGTCATTAGGGCACGTCATTAGGGCACGTCATTAGGGCACGTCATTAGGGCACGTCATTAGGGCACGTCATTAGAGCACGTCATTAGGGCACGTCATTAGGGCACGTCATTAGAGCACGTCATTAGGGCACGTCATTAGGGCACGTCATTAGGGCACGTCATTAGGGCACGTCATTAGGGCACGTCATTAGGGCACGTCATTAGGGCACGCCATTAGGGCACCGGGACACTCACTGCCCTCCTTACACCTCTAGGAAAGGTAAGTAAACTTGAAGGTTGCCATGCAAACTTCAGGGTTGCCATCCAAACGTCAGGGTTGCCATCCAAACTTCAGGGTTGCCATCCAAACTTCAGGGTTGCCATCCAAACTTCAGGGTTGCCATCCAAACTTCAGGGTTGCCATCCAAACTTCAGAGTGAAGTTTACAATGGCAAGGTTGTGTTCGAGGTTGTTTATAACAATAATAAACTTGGGGTTGTTAAGTTTCCAAGCTCATATAAACTGTTTAATAAATGTAAACCAATCTGCCATGATAAAGGCAAGATGTAGAGGTTTCGTAAGAGGTTGTGTAAATGCTTGGTGAAGCCGGTGTGAAGATACAGCACCGTCACACAAACCGGGGTCCAGAATTCGAACCCTGGTTCTCGCTAGCGTGGCGCGAAGACTACATAAAACCGCTACACCACCACCACAGGGTGCTTGTGGGGAAGGATTGTGGTGGTGGGGAAGGATTGTGGTGGTGGGGAAGGATTGTGGTGGTGGGGAAGGATTGTGGTGGTG